CACACAGGCTTGGACAGGAAGAATAAGATGGGTAGTACTATATTATAAAGCTATTCAGCTTTCTCCAGATCCCTCTGTTTCTTGTTAAGCCCTATGGGGGTGGGGGGAGGAGGCCTCCTTCTTGAGGACCTTTCAGGATAAGGAAGGTGGGCCTCTTGTCTAGCTAGCTGAGCAGCCAGCCTGGAGGCAGGGGAATGGCTCAAATGGCTTTCCAGTGAAAGTATTCTGACACTAGGGATCAGGCTATGCAGGGAGGAAGGCTTCCTCCATTCCCTCCCAAACAGAGAAGGCTTGTATGCTCAGGAATGAGGCATCCGCCTTTGCTGCTGCCTGACCCGACCCCCACCCCCTCTAGCCCTGCCAGCTGTCACATTCATCCAGTAGTTCCTGTCTCAATGCCAGCAGCAAAGCCCAGGGTTGGGGGAGGAGGGGCAGCAGCTGGGAGCAGCTACAGCAGGAACTAAGCTGAGGAAGTGTTTCTGCTGGCTGGCCAGAGCCCAGGTTACTGCCTCCGCTCCATGGGCCCTACACAGGGGAATCAAAGTCTGACTGACAGCTGGAGTGGTGTTGTGTTTTTTTTTTTGGGCAGGGGGTCAAGGTGAAGCAGGGTTGAGGCATGGTGGGAATAGTGCTGGGATTATAGCTCAAGGTAGAGAGTCTAAGCTTAGTATTTAGGGTAAGTCTGCTGTCAGAAGAAGGACCAGGGTTATTTCTTGGGTCCAATGATGGAAATGTTATGCTAGAAAGCTACAGGCTAGGGCAGCCCCGGGGAACTAAGGAGAAACTACATTTCCCAGCATGTAATGGGAATCTAGGGCTCAACCTCTCAGAAATAATTCCCACCATCCAGCTGTTGTAGCTGTGGTGCCTGTGTCCTGCCATCAGGAGGAAGGTGGGAGGGACACAGAGTCCAGCCAAACCTTAATCCTCCCTCTGAGTACACCACATACACTTTCATATATATATATATATATATTTATACACTCTCCTATGGGACCTGCACATGTTCACAGACTCACATTTGTTCACATCCAAACTCACATTTACTAGCACACATGGATACACAGACAAGTAATGATCACATACTTATCAAACAGAAGAGAACTGTTGAGAACCAGTCATGCTTTTGTTGAAGAGCTCAAAACCTCATGTACCTTATTCTCTTAACCCTCAACTGAAATCTTCCAAATGGAAAATATTAATTTAAATTTTTTAGAAAGTCTTCTAAATGGGGAAAGAGACTCAATATGTGGAGGAAGGGGGGATAATTATTCCTTGGGAGACAGAACTGGGGCCATGGGATGGGCCTCTCTTTGTCTCGTTGCTAAGAAGGGTATGAAAGGGGAGGTAAAAAAGCTAGAGAGGAGAAGTCAAGATACTTTCCCTTCCTCACCTTTAGCCCTCTGTTCGATAAATCCTTGAATCTTTCACTAGTTTTTCTTTAGGCTGATCAAATCCAAAAGATCCTGTACAATTATGACCCTCCTTCGTATCCCCCAGCTGGGGAAGGAGGATACAGAACTGGGGCAGGGACAGAGCATTTGTGATTGCTCTGGGACTACTTGGGCATTAAAGTCTTAGAATGACCATCTGTCACCTACTAGGGTCTCTGAGATGAGATTTCGCTTGATGGCCACTGGAAGGAATTTGGCTCTTGGTGTCTTTTTGCAGGTGATCAGAGAGTACTAGCCGATTTACCCTGTGGTAGAGGTATCATTGGGCCTGAGTTCTTTTTTATTGGTTAAAATGAGGGAGTGATAGGGTCTGTGGTTTCTCCAGGTCTGGAGCTATGAGTCTTCGATCTAACTCTGGGGAGACTGCCCCGGCCTGAATAAATCTAATCCTCACTGCCTATCCACACAGCCTGCTATGTGCTTCCCCTTCCGTCTCTTACCTTCTGCAATTTAAAGTCATTTACTACAACCCTTGATAGGAGAAGAGAACATGTATGTGTCTCTGCGTGTATTTTTAGGTGGGGAGAACCTGGGTACAGGACCATTAAGAGAAAGCATGTTGGCATGTGCTCACACACGCTAATGTGTAGCATCTGTGCCTGTGCACATGCTATGGTTATCGATGCTTTTTCATACATGTTCCCTTCAGCCTGATTCACCCCACGCAGTCTCTTCTCCCCTTAGCCACTTCACAGTTCCCTATACAGACATATACCACCCACCTCCCCAGGAGAGGCAGAAGAAACTATTACCAAGGTGGATGGCCAGAATCCAATATTAAATTTCCACTTATCCATCTCCTTCTGGCCAGCTCCCCAGCCCAACAGGGTGGCCAGGGCCCCCTAGCCCTGGAGAATGAATGCCAGCGTCACTGGGTAGGGGTTAGAGTGACTCTCCTTGGGGTGGGGGTGGGGCTGACTTACTCCACCTAGGGTGGCCAGTATGGCAGGTGCAGTCCTGTTTGCGGCAGACAGCTCTGGGAAGAGGTTTTTGTGGTCGTCTAACAATCCTGAAATTGCTTCTGAGCCCAGGAACAAACGTCCCTGTAATGGCTCAGCACGACCGGCTGAGTCCTCTTGAGCGGGGGCCTAATCAGCCCTTGGGGAGAGCTGGATAAACAGATCCTGGGCTCATGAATGATTCAATGAGGTTCAGCTTCCCCTCAGCTTGGCCTAACTAGGCAGCCAACAATCCTGTCACCCTTCACTGAGTCCCCAGACTGCACCCTTGGGGGCTGGGGGAAGAGACCTGCCTTCCTTACCCCTCCCCGCCACGTTGCCTCCAAAGCACCCAATTTCCCATTAGTGTCAGGGAAGTTGTGCTGTCTCCTGGCCAACTCTTCCCCTGAAAGCAGCTGTCTGGCATCAGTGACCCAATTATGGGCATACCCCTCTTCATCAAGATCACCAACAGAATTGCCACTACCATGATCAAGGCCATCATCTCCTCTACCATCAACCACCATAATTATCATTTCCATCATCTCTGTGAAGAGTGAGATGTTTCTCCTCTTCTTCCCCCACCCAAGTGTCACAAACCATCCCCACCCCCCAACTCCCACCCCAGGCAAAGCATCACCAGTCCCCCTATAACCATCACCGAGATAACCAATTCCCAACCTGATTCCATCATTTCCTCCCTGTTCCCTTTTTTTCTCATCTGTTCCTAGCCAAAGCTTTTGATCCTAACTTCAGAACCCTTTCCCTACTTCTCTTTTCCCTAGGCCCAGGGTTAAATTTTGCAGGTAATACACCAACTGACAGTAACCTACACAGCAGCCATGGACCCCTTATAATCCTGAGAGAAGCAAGAAACCAAACACCAAACAGAAGCTTCCGAGGTTGGACATCCAAAGCCATTTCCAGGAGACTTGTGGGTCCTGATGTTGGTCATTATCCCATAGTGGAGAGGGAAAATGGAGTGATAGTAAAATAAGTCAAGGCTGTTGGGTCTCCTCTACTCACTCCAACCATGCTCACTGATCTCCTAGTAGGCAGTTTCTGCAGAGGTACCAACAGAAGATTAACCAGGAGGGGAAAATTTCTTCTTTCTCTGAATAGGGAACTAAGGACAAGAATCTCCCTGGTGCCAGGAGAAAAGATCTCTTGTTGGAAAGAGTCCTTGTTGATCTCATCAAAAGCTCCCTTTCCCAGGTGCTTCTTGTATGGTCTCTTTTTTAGGAATAAGGACTTCTTCCCCTGCCAGACCTAGTCACACATAGCACTTGACCTCTTGCTTGGAGAGGAAGGAAAGTGTGGTTTTGCCCTGTCCCTTCTGTTCTCTATGTAGCCGGGAGTTGAAGCCACTAAGGCCCTAGACTTCTCTTGGGTCAAACAGCCTGGTCCAGGCATGGGGCAGTGATTTCTTTGGTGCAGGAGGATAGAAAGATGCTCATGGGGATAAAGGAGAGAGAAAGGCAACTTATGAAGGCTCCAAGGGCAGGGCAAGTTTCTGATCATACTGGGGACGGTTCCAGGGGTTCTTTGAGGGTTGATCTTTCTGCTTTTGTTGCCTGTGATACAAACCTACCCAACAAGGGAGTTCCCCACCAAACACTGAAAATAAAGCATCACTGCTCAGAGATAATCAGCCCTTGAGCTATTATTGCCCGAGTCCATTTTTGCCCCATCATCTTGTAGTAAATAACTTTAACAAAATCCCTGGGGATAATCCTGTTTTGGGATGCTTTGCCCCTAACTCTACTAAAACCACTCTGGGTTAGCCTTTCCTATCTGACCACCTTGACACAACATCCTTTTTATTCCACCAACTCGAGACAAAACTTCCTTTCTTGATTAGCATCTGTGTGGCATCACTTTCTGCCTAGAAGACAAACCTCCTGAGGTACTTTCTCTGCTAATTATTACCTGTATAACTCTGGGCAAGTCATTTAGCCTGGGCCTGAGTTTTCTCATCTGTAAAACTACCAGATTATAGATTAGGGGATCTCGAAGATCTCTTCACATCTAAAGCTGCTTTCTCTCAGCTGACCATGCACAGCCTACCATCTGATCGATACAACCAAAGCCAGATACTACCATTCACCTGGTGGCAGCTGCCAGAATTACAGGCATGCTGCCAAGAAGGAAACAAGGACCCTTTATAGATCAGGCTGTGCAAACCAGAACTAGGACAGAGGACTGTTAGCATCACACATGGGTTTTCTCTCAGCAGGACCTACAGGGAAATTCCAAACATCAGAACTTTGCCCTAGTAACTCACCCCAAAAGAACAAATGATTCTCCTCCTCCTCCAGCCTCCTTCACTATGCCTGACATTTCCCTCTCATCATTGACCTCAATCAAGCACAGAAGAAAGACAGCACAGTGGGGTTCACCAGAGCCCAGAGAGAAATAGAGATAGAGAGAGAGCATAAGCAAAGGTAGACAATAGCCCCATCTGTAGCTCTAGTTGAGAGACAAGATCCAAGGTCCTAAGGCTCAGGCCAAGCCTAGGGTACAAGCCATGCTGCCTTAGAAAAAGGGCCAGAAGAAGAGAGGTGAGGATGGGACTGGCGGGGGTAGAGGGCAGTCATAAGCTTCTTACCTGTGATATTGACCTCTACCATGCCTGAACGTGTGCCAATGGGATTGGTAGCTTCACATATGTAGGTCCCAGACAAACTATAGGTCACAGGCCCCTTGAAGAACAGGGTCTTGTTTTGGGTGTCCATACTTGAGGGGAGAGTGCCATTCAACCTGCAAGGGAAGGGATCAGGTGATCATTTCTCCACCCTTCCATCATGAGAAACGTTTTTTTTTTTCTACCTCCTTGACAGATCATTGTCACTTCTTTCTCTCAACTCTGATTAATCTCGCTTGGTTCCAGCTAAGAATAGAGAATGGTCCATAGAGGACACTCAATAAGTCTGTAGAATTGAATTGTTGTATCATCCCCCTATATATACCTACAATCAGCTTGTGCTCCTGCTAATGCGTTTTCCATTTTTTTTACATGTTGATTTGTCCTACCTCTCTCCCAATAGGCGGTGTCTCCCAAGGACAAGGATGATGTTTCTTCCAGTCCCCCCAGCTGTGATATACAGCGAATCTGGGGATGTTGCCTATTCCTTTGGTCACAGAGCTGATTTTGGGAAGCATGACATGCTTATCCAAGGACAAGTGGTACTATTATGTATCATTTTCCTTGTGATGGTTTAACATGACTGCTTTTGTGCCCTTTTAGATTTCCTTTTTTAGTCATCTCTGACAAGGATGTGCTCACCCTTCTAGCTACTTCTAACTACACCCTTCCAGCTTGTCTCTCCCATTAGCCTGCCCCTATTTCTCAGCCTTGATCCCCTACTGATTTTCTACAACTGAATCTGAGGTTGGGATCATCAGAACCTTGGGATGAAATGGGAGAAGGAAGAATATGAAGAGCCTGAACCCAGGTATCTAGCTTCCCATCCTCCTGACCTTATCTGTCTCCCTGTACTGCATGTCATGAAGACCAGAAATGAGGTGGTAGGGTAATTAATCTGAGCAGAGTTGAGATTTTTGAGGGAAATCCCAGAGAAACCAGGAAGTCTGATTATCCATCCTCTCCCCACCCTTTCCTCCTGTCAGCCTAGGAAAAGGCGAGAGTAAGCCCAGGAAAATACATGATTCTGACCACTTTGTAAGGCCAGCTTTCCTGGGGATGACTCAAAAAGAAATATTGGGGGTTAGGGCAGTCTGAGTCAAGTTGAATCACTGAACAAAAATGAAAACACATTTAGTATCCAACAGCAGGGAGACATGATAAAGGAAGCCTAATACTGGATGACCGACTTCACTGGAACACAAGACAAAAGAGTGAGGTCTCTCCCTTCTCTGACCTATACTAAGGTGATGCTTCTGACTTTTCTTTGAGGGTATGGTGTGGAACAGTGGCAAGAGTACAGCTATGGAGTCAGAAAAGATCTGGGTTTGAATTTCACCTCCAACACATGCTTGCTGCATAACCATGGACTGAGACTCTTCTCTGAATCTCTGTTTTCTCATCTGGAAAAGGGGACTGAATAACACCGGCTCAGAAGGTATTTTCAGATTGGATTGGATGGCCTTAGTGGTCCCCTCCAATGCTGAAATGCTATGATTCTGTGAAATCCGATAACATAGTGAAAGTGCTTCATAAACCCTAAAGTACTCTATACTTGTCAGCTATCATTAGTATTAATTATTCCTGTCTCCTTACATTCAGTGGAGTTCAGACAGAAACATTATTATTATCATCATCACTGCTGTCTCCCTCTCCTCATCTTTTCTGATAGAGTTCAGGTAGAAATGGTTCCAGGACAGATCACCACTCTGCAATTATTCTCTTCTGCTTAATGCTCTGTAGACAATTGTACCAGTGACTAAAATGACTCCTTTTGGTAACTGAATTAGCGTACTAGGATGAAGGCTGATCTCTATAGGCTCACAGAAAACATCTTTGAGACATCTCTAGTAGCAGAGAGGGATGGCATATACCTCCTCATCCTGTTCCCACCTGGTTGTAATTTCTTCTACTTGATCTCTGTTTTTAAAGAGTTTTGTTCTTTGTGGCTTGGAGATTTGGCATGGCAACCTGTGTTAATAACATTGTTCTTCAGGCAAGGTCCCAAAGAAGAAACAGGAGAAGACCCATTCCTCTGGAGCAGGAGAGGTTCATGGGTGTGGTATACTGCATATGTTTTCAGACCTTCTCAATGTATGATTTTGCTCAAATGGTTTTGTTATTTTTTTCCTCTCCTGTTTCTTTTAAAAAAACAAAAGAAAACATTATTTGTTATATAGGAGGGTTCTCTGGGAAGGAGTAGGGAGAAGGACACTGGGAGAAATTTTAACAAATCCTCATCTAGTTGCTACTTTTTTATGTTACTGATGTTGTTACTAAGACCCTACGGATTCTGCTTTTGATTCTTTATAACACAATACTCTTTTGTGTATGCTTGTAGATTTTTTCCCCTCATAATTAATAAGCCCTTGCTCACCTCACCCCATTGGGAGGAGACTAAATCTTGGGGTAGTAGTCTTAGTGTTAGCCCAAGGCTTGGGACAATGAAGCCAAGGAAAGAGAACTAGGAAATACTTACAGTTTCCATTGGTAGTGGGTGACTGGAGGGTTGGCATCACACTGGCAAGTGAGTTTCACATCCATTCGTTTCAGGTACCAGTTTCCATCAAAGCCCTCAATGGTCACCTCAGGTTCATCTGTGGGTTGGGGATGAGGTGGTGGAAAATGACGGGAGAGGTCAGGGAGGATGTGTTGGGGAGAAGAGGGCGTAGTGAAAAGAGGCAAAATTGAAGGGAACAGTAATGTAGTAGAATAGGAAAAGGGTATAGGAAATGTGGCGCGGAGAGGAAGAGGTAGAGAAACGGTATAGATATAGGTATAAAAAGGGAAATAGCAGGTTGATGGGGAGGAAGAGGGATAAATGAGAGAAGACAAGAGGAGAGAAGAAGGGAAGAAAAAAGAAGAAGAGGATGAAGGGAGGAGTATAGAAGGGAAAAAGAGAGTATGTGTGGATATACACACACAGAAAGAGAGAGAGGACAAAAAGGAAGATGGAAAAAAGAGAGGGTAAAAAAAGAAAGTCAAGAGGATAGAAGAGAGAAGGGGGGAACAAAAAGAAGGAAAGGATGCAATGGTAGGGAAAGAATTTGGAGTCAAGGAGAGAAGATAGCAGTTGCTCATTCACGATCATTTTCACCCACCAGCCCTGAGACTTCTCTCCCCTAAAGCCCCCACCTCCCTTTGTCCCACCTTCCCATCTTTTCTTTCCTCCTCTCCCTTCCCCTCCTCTTCTGTTTCCCTGGCTCACACTGCACATTGAGGGTGACACTCTCACTGAACCGGTCGAGTTGGTAGTTGACAACACAAGCCAGGGGCTGCCGATGGGCTTCTCGACTGGGCACTAGGCGGTATCGGCTGATAACTGTCACTGTGCCATTGGGGTGCCGGATCTCCTGGAATTCAGCTTCACCCTTCAGCCGGGTGTCCCATGAAACAGTACTGGGTGGTTTCCCATTGGCTGAGGTACAAGTGGCCACCAGGACCTTTTCTGTCTGGCCAGTCCTGGCTGTCAGGGTTTTCTTTGTCCCTTCCATCCAGTTTGTTGGTTTGGCTGCCAGGAAATAAGACAGGACATGATGAGAGCCCCCAGTCCCTCTCTTGCCTACCCTTTACCCACTCTGATTTTTCCTCCCACTAATCAGGTAGAGAAGAACATAGAAGAGACAATCTAAGTACAAAGAAAAAAGCAATCCCTACTCTTAAGGACATTCCAAGAGGGAAGACAAGTAGGAGACAAACAAGTATATACAGAATAAACATGAAGAGACTAAATACAAAATGAATACCAAGTAGGATCAACAGAATGTTGTTTGGGAAGGAAAGCATGGATCAGGTGGGGGAATCCAAGAAGCTCCATGTGGAAGGTGGTACTTGAGCCATACCTTGAAGGAAGAAAGGAATTCTCTGAGGCAGAGGTGAGGAAGGGGAGCACCCCTAGCAACAAAGGACAGTGAGTGCAAAGGCATGGAGGTGGAGAAACAGAGGGCAAAATGGTTTGGCTGGATGATAAGATTTAGGAGGGGAGTGATGTCCAACAATGCTAAAAAGATGGGTTGGGTCAATCTTCTGAAGGGCTTTAAAAGCTCAAGAGAAGGGTTTATATTTGATTTTAGAAGCTACAGAAAGAAAGTCACCAGAGTTGACTGCGTTGGGGGAATGACATGGTCAGACCTGCCCTTGAGAAAAAAAATCACTTTGACTCATGAAGGAAAATGCTGTCCACATCCAGAGAAAGAACTGTGGCGTACTTTTTTTGTTTTTTGTTTTCTTTCTTGTGGTTTTTCCCTTTTATTCTGATTCTTCTTTCACAACATGACTAATGTGGAAATATATTTAAAAAGAAAAAAAGAAAAAATCACTTTGGCAGATGTGTGCAGGATGAACAAGAGTGGGGAGAGACTTGAGGCAGGGAGAGGCTGTTGCCCAAATCTAGGTGAGAGGGGATGAGGGTTGAAAATAAGGTGGTAGCTGGATGGGCAGAGAGAAGGTGGATGTAGGTAAAAAATGTCAAGATTTGGCAAGTGACTGGATATGTGGGGTGAGAGAGAATGAGGAGCCCAGGACAATGCCAAGGTTATGAACCTGAGAGACTGGAAAGTTGGGAGAGCCTGAGATATAAATAGAGAAATTTGGAAGAGGGGAAGTATTTAGGAGTGGGGGAAGAAAATAAGCTCAATTTTGGACATGATGAATTTGAGGTGTCTTCAGGATATCCAATATGAAATATCCAATAGGTAATTGGTGATGCAGTAGTTAAGTTCAGGGGAGAGACTGGGGCTGGATATATAGATCTGGGAGTCAATTTGCATGGAGCTGATAGTCAAAGTCATAAGAGTGTGTGTGTGTGCGCGCGCACGTGTGTGTGTGTGTGGGGGGGGGGCGCATGTGCGCGTGCCATGCACTCTCCAGCAGCTAGGTGGTGCAGTGGATAGACCATTGGCCCTGGAGTCAGGAGGACTTGTGTTCAAATCTGGTCTCAGACACTAACTGTATGACCTTGGGAAAGTCACTTAGGCTTGATTGCCTCCAGAAAAACAAAATATAAAGTCATAGAGGACAAATGAAATTGCCCCCATTGAGACAGTGTAGAGGGAAAAGAGATGAGGGTATAGGATAGAACATTTATACTTTTGTATAAAGCAGTACTTGGGAATAGTAAGTACTTAATAAATGTTTATTGATTGATTGATGGTGCCTGTCTGGAAACTTTTGTCTCCTAGCTGGGTCTTACTGTAATCCATGCAGAGAAGACTGACAATAAATTATCATAAATTTAGAGTTGGAAGGGGCTTAGGAGTCATCTAATCCAGTCCCCCATATTTTGTACTTGAAGGAAACTGAGGCCCAGAGAGGTTAAGTTACTTGCCTAAAGTCACAAAGGTATTAAATGTCAGAACTAGAATTTGAACTTTGGGTCCTCAGATAATGTTACACAAAGCATTTCACAAATCTTAAAACTCTACATAAATGTTCTTGTTGGTAATAATAATGGTAGTTATTATTATTTCAATTGTACTTTGTACACTGTTCCCTTCTCCTAAAAGGAGATTCCCAAACTTCCCTTTACCTTCTGGTCCAAGGTCTTGTACCCATCCTAATATGCAGGTCCTTCTGCTCTGCCTTCTAATCTTCCCTACATGCTCCAGGAGCAGCTCTTCTCATGACCTTCAAAAACTCCCTGCTTCTTGACGTCGCTCACTATGATGTTCCCAAGGAGCACTTCTCCAGGGTCAGAACAATGGTTCATCAAACTCTATTGCTTAGTTGTGTCAGAGCTAACGGGATCTCTCATCCTTGTCCGAGTGGTAGCATGGGAACACCTTGACCAAGCCTTAAACATATGTAAACCTCAGTGCTGAGGCCCAGGATCGCGGCTAGTGCAATTAACTCTCAGGAGGCACGGCTAAGATCATTATGGTCTAGCGGGAAAGTAGAAGCTCCTGGGGTCCCAGTCAAAGCTACCTCCCCCTACCTCCAATAAATGGAAGCAATGTAGGAACTCCTGTAGGCTATTGAACAGGAAGCCCATCATTGGAGAGCCTGGGGTTGTGACTGGGGTGAACTTACCTAGAACAGTGAGGTTGAGCTGGCTCTCCCTGTTCCCTGTGGGGAAAGTAGCAAACTCGCAGATGTAGACACCCTCATCCTCCAACTGGAGACGGGAGAGACGGATGGTACCATCAGTGAAGGATGGCTGGAGAAAGGTCACGCGCTCTCGGTAGGGAGCCAGCACCGAGACTCCCATATTTGGATTGTAGATGGCCACATTCTGCTTGGTGCCATTGGTGGCTTTTTGCCATGTCATCTGGGTGATCCTCACCGTGGGTAGGGGGTTAGAAAAGCTACAGTGGAGCACCACATCTGTGCCGATGAAGCCTGATACAGTGTCGTTCACCTGGACCACTTGGGCCTGCAGACCTGAGAAGGACACAGAGAGACAGGGTCAGGGACACCTGGACAACTCCTCTGCTTCTCTCTGGATCTTCTAAAGAAAAAAATTCAAAGAGGAAGGAACCAAAAGCCAAATATCTAAGATTTCTAGTCCTGGCTATCACTAACTAACTGTGCCAAAGCTTGTGAATAAAATGATCAAATGGATGTGAAAGCACTTGGGATGGGAGGGGGGGGAAGAACCAGGCATCTTCCAAGCATCAGGAATGTTTGTGATTGCTCCCTCCCTTCAACCCTATCCTAGTCTCAATTTTCCCTGTATTTATTTACCCTTATATCCTATGGATCTTCAACTTGAACTTTTTTAGTCCATTCAGGAAGACCTCCCCACTTTGACATAGCTTCTTTTGTCTCTTGTCTTGGAGCTGCCACACATCTAGACTAGCTTCCATGCTTCTAGACTAGGAAGATCTCTTTCCACCACATCACCCACCACCACCTGCCAAATCAAGGCCCTTCTCTCACTTGGAGGTCCACTCACACCTCTCCCTCTCCAGGGAATGTTCCCTGACTATTGCCCAGGAAAACATGATATAATGACATGCTTGGGTGACAGAATGGTGACATAGCTAGAGAACCTTCCTTCAATTCAGAAAACCTGGGTTCAAGGTCTCCTCTAGCACATACTGGTTGTGTGACTCCAGCCAAACCACTTACTACCCCCCAGGCAACTCTCTGGGGGAGAAGAGAGTGTTCTGAGTATAAAACTAAGTGAGTAGCAGAGCAGTTACACATTTGCACTACTAGTGGAAGTTCCCAGTGGGAGTTTTCAAAACCAAAGAAATCACAGGTCTGGACAAAACAAACTAAAAAAACTTTGTGAACTAGTTTAGCTGTACATATCTATAACAGCTTTCTTATATATCCAGGATTGGCATCAGGATTTGTGATTTATTGCATAGTAATGGAAAGAAGAGCATATCGGTCCCTCCCCAGGACAGATTCAGAAGCAGAGAGTGAAGCAGAACATCCTGAAAGAAGAAGGTGGAAGAGGAGGAGGGACAGGCTATGTCTCTTCCAGTCAAGTAGAGCTGATGTATCTTGTATTTCTGAGGCTGGATCTAGAGGGGTCAGTTTGACAGGTCCAAGTGGATCCTTGGACAAGTTTGTTGGCTCTGAACCAGATTGTTTTTGATAACTTTAGAGCACTCTTTAAACTACTCTACCACTTATGCATACTTGTAGATTTTCTGCCCTTCCTTTGCAAATTAATAAACCCTGGCTAAAAATCACTTGGAACTCACAGGAGCATAAATTTAGAACTGAAAGGAATCAGGGAGAGAGGGAGGGAAGAAGGAAGGAAGGAAGGAGGTAAGTATATATTAAGCATCCACTATGTGCCATAGGGCAGTTAGGTGGCACAGTGGATAGAGTCAGAAAGACTCATCTTCTTAGGTTCAAATCTGGCCTCAGACACTTCCTAGCTGTGTGACTCTGGGCAAGTCACTTAACCATGGTCGCCTCAGTTTCCAAATTTATACAATGACCTGGAGAAGGAAATGGCAAACCACTCCAGTATCTTTGCCAAGAAAACCTCAAATGGGGTCATGAAGAGTCTGACATGAATGAATAATAAGCACTTTACAAATATCTCCTTTGATCCTCTGGGAGGAGGGGATGGAAGCTATTATCATCCCCCCTTTACAGATGAGGAAACTGAGGCAGTGGTTAAATGACTTGCTCAGAGTCACACATGGTGAGTATGTGAACTCACACCTTCCTGACTCCATGCTCACTGCACCATCTAGCTGTCGATGAGTCCAACCCCTAGGATGAAGATACTGAGAGACAGAAAGGTTATATGACTTGCCCATAGCTAGCTCAGAAGGGGATATAGAGGTTAAAGGTCTTAGACAAGCAATATTTGGGGGGGGGGGGGCAGTAATAGTAAGAGGAAGCAAATTTCAAGTGTGGTAGGGTTTTCATTGGTAGGATTTGGTTGGATTGTTTGTACTCTACAATCACCCCTGAAGAAGTTTGGGATCAGATCTGCTTCAGCTAGGTACTTTGGCCTTGGCAGATTCCATGGTTGTTTTTTTTTTTTTTTTAAATCACCACACCCTGGTTCTGCCCTCTCCAGACTTATCTAGCTTTATAAAATCATTCCCCATTTGGGTCCTCATATCTGTATTGTCCTCTTTGTCTAGCTATAGGCTCACATTTAGGTCTTGCCCAAAGGATGGGAGTAAGGATGGGAGTGGTTTTAATGACCTCCAGGGGGCATTCCTGTCTTCAGTGATTAGGATTGGGAAATCAGGAGCCATGGAGAGATTATAGTCTTTAGAGGTTGAACTGGCTTCAGAGATAAAATTTGCCCCCTTAATAGGGCAGAGGAGGAGTCATTTTAGGTGGCACCATGCCCACTGAGGTGAGATAGTCATTAAGATGTATTTCATACTTCACAGGCTTATAGAATTGAGCTCTGTCCAGTCTAGTTCCCTTTCTTTCTTTACAAATAAGGAAACTGAGGTCTAGAATACTGATTTGCTTAAGGAGAAATGGCACTCCTTGGGATTGGTTGGAGGAGATAGAGATATTTAGTCTGATGAAGGTAACCTGGAAGTTGGGGGCAGGATGGGAGCGCTGGTAGATGGAACATGGTAACTATCTTCAAATGTTTCATGGGCTGTCATATGGAAAAGAGATTAGACTCATCTTGTTGGCCCCAGAGGGCAGAACTGGGTGGAAGACATAGAAGCATATTTTGATTTGATAAATCTCCCTAACAAGGATAAACTCCCTAACAATTAAAGTTATCTAAAAGTAGAATAGTGCGTTTCAGGAGGAGATCTTGAAGCGGAGGCTAGAATATCAAAAACGTTATAGAAGGAATTCCCTTTCAGGTACGGCCTTTTGCAGCTCACCTCCTCCTCTGAGAGTCTATGATTTCAGGGGCAGCTAGGTGGTACAATGGATGGAGCATTGGCCCTGGGAGTCAAGAGACTCTGAGTTCAAATTTGACCGCACACATTTATTAGCTCTGTAACACCTGGGCAAGTTATTTAACCTGGATTACCAACCACAACAATCCCAAAACAAAAACAAGCAAGCAAACAAACAAAAAAACAACAAAAAAAAAATTCTATGATTTCTTGTTAAGATCACACCAATATTTAGTAGAATGCGAACTAGAACCTAGGAATCCACACATAAAGCTTTTCCCACCCACTATGCCAATCCAATTCTCAGTTCTCTTTAAGAAGCTGGAAAAGTTTTGTGCCGTACTTCTCTCTTATGATTCTCCAACACAGACCCTCTGTTCCTGCAAGGTTAAACTTCTCACATTTTTTTCTAATAGATCATGCAATGCCCTTCTCCCTCCCATCGTGCTACCCTTTAAAATCTACCCAAGGTCCTTCCTCCATATAACCTTATCAGACTTCTCTAGCTCTGTAATGGGGAAGGAACAAAAAATTTTCCCTTTCTCTGAAGTCACAATTTAAATGGGAAACCAATAATAAAAAGCAAATTCCTTGAGGGGAGGTAGTATTTTACTTTTGTCTTGATATCTCTAGTACCTAGTATAGTACCTGGTATAGAATTTTTGTTGTTGAGATATTTTGGTTGTATCCAAGTCTTTGTGACCCCCTGTGGAGTTTTCTTGGCAGATACTAGAGTGGTTTGCCATTTCCTTCTCCAGATCATTTTAAAGATGAAGAAACTGAGGCAAACAGGGTTGGTTAAGTGACTTGCCCAAGGTCACACAGCTAGTAAGTGATTGAGGTCACATTTGAACTCAGGAAGATAAGTCTTCCTGACTCTAGTCCTGGCACTATCCATTGTGGCACCTAACTGCTCCTGGTATTGATTAGGCAGCTAATAAATTCTTGTTGAATTTAATTGAATTTATATCCCATGATTCAGAATTTGATTTTACTGAACCGAAGGGTGTCCTGGTTTCTTTACCTGTAGGAGTATTGTCTTCCCAACTTTCCTAGCCTAGAATAAACACTGAATCAGTAGAGTTAAAGAACATCCCAAGTCTATCCATGTCAGAAGGCAATTTGGAATTATGTCCCCAAAGTTACTAAGCTGTATATGCCCTCTGACCCACTACTAGGCCTCTATCCCAAAGAGATAAAAAAAAAGAGGAAAAGGACCACTACGTACAACAATATTTATAGCAGCCTTTTCTGCTGTGGCAAAGAACTAGGTGCAGGAGGCAGCTAGGTGGCACAGTGGACAGAGCAATGGCCCTGAAGTCAAGAGGACTTGAGTACTAATCAAGCCTCAGACCAAACACTTGACACTAGCTGTGTGACCCTGGGCAAATCACTTAACTCCAATTGCCTAAAATTAAAAAAAACAAAACAAAACAAAACTAGGTGCTAATGGGTTGTCCATCAACAAATTATGGTATGACTATAAAGAAATACTATTGTGCTGTAAGTAATGATGGAGGGGACAGGTTCAGAGAAATCTAGGAAGATTTGTTTGAACTTAGTTAAACGAGTGAAGTGAGCAGAACCTGTAGTACAATTTATACAAATAACAACATTGCAAAGACAAGCTTGCTACCCGCCTCCTGACAGAAATGGTAGACTCAGGATGCAGAGTGAAGGATTTATTTTTTGGACATGACCAATGCTGGAATTTAATTTTGTTTGACTATGTATTGTTACAAAGGTTTTATTTTTATTTATTTCTTTTCCATAGGCAGTGGGGAAGAAAAAATAGATTTGTGCTAACTGGAAAAAAAAAAAAGAAATTAAATTCAAAAGAGAACCCAGTTTCCTGGCTCTGTTGTAGAAGCAGCTGCTCTCTAAGGCCAGTGGGCCTTAAACACTCTTTCAGGGGCTAAGCCCTTGGTTGTTCCTCTGGGAAAAAAGGAAGCTCTGCCTGGCACTCAAACCAAGAAGAAAAAGCATGAACCACTGACACACAAATCTGTTTCTGTTCCTCTTTTTGCCTGGCCTATCATCGCTTTCCAAAGTGGGCCGGAGATAACATTGCAGTAATTGCTGAAC